CAGAACCATCTGAAAAAAACAAAACTTCTCTAATAAATTCCTTTTACAAATTTCCTTAATCGCTAATTTTTTAGATAATCAATTTTGTGAATAATAAATAATTATGCATTTATTCAACAAATTTGATTAAAATCAATCACCAAAAAAAATTCATATGATTATATCTATATACATGCTTTTCTTAACAAAATAAAGCATATCTAAAATTCCATAATCAAAAGAAAAATCATTTGAATCAATCAACATGATATTCAGCTAGAGATATTGGAGATAAAAATTCTCTCAATAATTTAATGTGATGACTGCTCTGATACCATTTGTTGGATCTTTCAAATCCATGTTCCACATTCCAGGAATCATCACACCAAATTACTAAGAAAATAAGTTAGGATAAATACCTGTCTCCATTGATGCAGCCTTGAATCTCCAGTAGAATTCTCTAAGACAACGAGCACGACGGTTATTACCTTCCTCAATCAAATCTCCTTACTTTCTTAATAGGGCGTTTTCTCTCTAGATGGGGAAGAATTAAAACTGCCGAATGATTTGACGTATTGGGGACCATAACCTAAGTTTCTATATATACTGCCTCATTAGGCTCCCATTAAACCTAGTTGGGTCAATATGGGTATCCACCCATTCAGCCCATACCTTGTTAAGAGACTTGGACTTTCCATAATTAGATCACTTAATTAGTCCAATTAATTAAATAGCTTAATATAATTATTGAATAAATATGTGGCCCACAATATAGGAAACACACGTTTCCTAACAATACATAGGGTGTGTTTGGTAGCCTTAAAAACTCAAAAAAATGCAACTCGAGTTCTAACTTTATTCAAGTTCATGTTCTTTTAAGTTTGAACTCGAGTTTGGGACTAAAACTCGAGTTCAAGTTTCTCCTTCAACTTGAGTTCAAAAACTCAAACTCAAATTAATGAACAATATTTTTTCTATTCTTAAAAATGCTATAACTTTTTCGTTTTAATCCTGATTGAGATGATTTTTTTTCTATGCGTTGACAATAAAAAGACGAATAAAATCCAACCATATACCCTATTAAAATTTTTCATCACCATTGAGTTTTTATTAAAATACTATCTGAATACAAATTCAAATTTTGACTCACTCAAACACAAACTCAAAAATATTCTTATCTCAAACCATTAGGGCTGGCAATATAGGTCACGACACGACGACACGACTCAAAAATGACACAAATTTTGCGGGTTAGGGTTGAGAAAAAAAAGGTTCAGATCAGAATTGGGTCGACCTGAAATTGACACGAAAAATACGGATCAATTTCGGGTTGGACCCGCCTAACCCAAACACGACACGAAACTCCTAAAAAACTAAAAAATACATATATTTTTCATTACATATTTTAAATTTTATTATGAACTTGTAATATCATGATAGTTATACTCAAAATCTTATACTATTATTTGCTTAATTTCAATGGATGTTATTATAATTTAGTGTGTCATGAATTCTAAGTTATTTCTAATATGTAAAAAACTAAATTAAAGTATACACTTTTCGTGTCAATTTCAGATTCACTGGTTAATTTTGTGTCACGAGTCATTTTCGGGTCGTGTCGTGTCAACTCGTAAAGTGATCGTGTTGCGGTTTTTAAAAAATTTCGTGTCACGGGTCGTGTTCAGATTGACTGCAAATTTTTAAAAAATGATCAAAACACGACACGTGACACGAATTGCTACCACTACAAACCATAACTCAAATGTACACAACCAAACACAAACTCAAGTTATAATTTTAACTCAAGTTATAACTCAAATTCAACTAAAAATTACACTCAAATCACACTCTAAAAATAACAGGTCCATAGTTTTTTTATGTCCTATCAATAAATTAGTTTATGGAGGCTTTTATAGGACCTATAGCATAAAATGTTTTAGGACGTTAGATTTGATTATAAAAAGCATATCAAAACAAAAATTTTGTAAAACTGACACAATTTCATCGAGCTCCGTCTAACAATTAAAGCAGATGGTTTTCATTCACCCGAGTTGTTGGGTTGGGTGGGACCCACTGAAAAGCCAAAAAAAACCTCTTGCTGATATGGAAAATAAGTAGGTCCCACTTGTGCTAAGCAGACATTTAAAAACAAAAACAAAAACCTATTGAGATTTTTGAAAGCTGTGTCCCACCTCACAGTTTTTTATAGCAACCGTTTTTCCCGCGCAGTCATTGAAAAACGGTTGGTCCCAAATTTAGGCTTTGGACTTGGGGGATTTTTAGTGCACCCTCTATTCCTTATTTCCACCTGAAATTCCGGCCAGCTATAGCTTTCTTTCTTATTGACTGGCACCGGTTAGAACCATCCCCACCTTGCTGGACCGGGCCGTCAACAAGGAAAAATATAAAAAAATAAAATAAAATAATCCTGCGCAAATTTCAATTTCAATTCCAATTCTAATTCCGTTTAAGAATTTTCAAGTTTCCAGCTTCCCTATTAGTTTCTGAATCAAGAATTTATAGAGTAAATGTCACTTTTTTTTTCTTTTTGAATTTTCCTATTCCTTGGTTATAGAGTACAGAAACCAATTGATGCAATATCCGGTATTATGCAGGTATGCTTGGACATAGCAAAAGTTAGCGATATTTATGCAGCCATCTCAACTTCTCTGAAGGTATGAGTTCATAAAAAAAAGTGTTTCATCTTTTTTTCCTATATATACAACAATTTTCCCTATTGGGGAATATATTAGAACCATCCCCACCTTGCTGGACCGGGCCGTCAACAAGGAAAAATATAAAAAAATAAAATAAAATAATCCTGCGCAAATTTCAATTTCAATTCCAATTCTAATTCCGTTTAAGAATTTTCAAGTTTCCAGCTTCCCTATTAGTTTCTGAATCAAGAATTTATAGAGTAAATGTCACTTTTTTTTTCTTTTTGAATTTTCCTATTCCTTGGTTATAGAGTACAGAAACCAATTGATGCAATATCCGGTATTATGCAGGTATGCTTGGACATAGCAAAAGTTAGCGATATTTATGCAGCCATCTCAACTTCTCTGAAGGTATGAGTTCATAAAAAAAAGTGTTTCATCTTTTTTTCCTATATATACAACAATTTTCCCTATTGGGGAATATATTGATCTCCATGTTCTTTTGTCAAAAAAAAAAAAGAACCCACTGAAAAGAGAATTTCTAAGAAAACAAAAGGGATAAGTGATAGTGGCCAAACTTGAATATCCTTATAAAATTTTCAAATGGTTATTCAAATTATATAACTATGTTGCCTCTTTTTTATGTTTTTCTTTCTCACGGTATTTTCAAGTTGTCGTTTCTACTCATTAATTTTTCTGGTATTGAAGCTAGAGAGAAGGCGCGGTACACTGTTCATTTGTTGAGTTGAAGTTTCTTGAGCTCTTTGGCCGAACATGGCGACCAAGGTGAAGAACCTCCTGAAAGGCCTAAGATACATTTCCCAGATGTTCGGTATTCTATTATTCTATCTGGTCTCAACTTGGCTTTATAATTATCTCAATGTTATCACTCTCAAGGTTTAGTCTTTGTTTGATTGCCGAGAAAAAAGGATACGATTTCTAAAATCATGGAAAATTTTGCAGATGAGAAAGAAGAGGAAATACAAATTGGCTTTCCCACAGATGTAAAGCATGTTGCACACATTGGATGTGATGGCCCTTCTGCCAATATGCCTAGCTGGGTATATCAACCATTATATATTTGTTTCTAATCTGTTTCTTTTTCAACGTAACAAATTAGCATATTCCTCAATTTTTCCAACTTTTTCTTTTTTGTATTTTATTTCCATTTGAGAACAAGACAAAAATGATACTTGATTTTGAACCACATTTTCTCTATGTTATGCGAAAATCGTGATCAGATGAACGAGTTTAGATCTCCGTCAGAAATCACATCCGGGCCATTGGAATCTATTGGGCAATTATCCTCCAAAGGTTGGTTCCTTGTCCTAATGATTTTCTCTTTTTGCCTAGAATGATATTTGAACTTGAATCCTTATGGAGTTCACTTTTTTTATTGGTTGTATGAATTCAAGACACCACGAACAGAAATGAAATTTCAAGATCAAGACGGCACTATTCAACGAACCTAGGTTCTCCTGTAAGCTCCCCGACCAAACGAGGATTTGACGGTTCAAAACATTCTAGGCGCCGCCGTTCAAAGGATGGTTCAATGGGCTCACCTGCCCGCGATTCCTCAGGCAGTTCCCGCCATTCTCGACGGCAACAAAAGTCAAATCTAGGACCAGAGATCTCCAACCAAGACCAGCCTGCCATCCCGAAAAGCTCTCGCAGGAAGAAGGGGTCAACTGAAGGAGGGTCAACAAAGTCAACAAGATCATCAAGGTCAGAAGGCGAGAATTCCTTGACAGATAACCAGTTCTTGGATCTTGGAGCAGTGTCTGAATCTGGGAATAAGGAAGTGGCAGAAGATAAGAAATAAGCGAATTGCACTTCAAGAGAGGTTTTTAACATGACCCTTTAATGCAGCAAGATAATTCTAACTTTCAATTGGGTTTTTCTTTTCTTTTCTTTTTTTGTTTTTTTGTTTTTTTTTTTTTTGCCATTTTTGTTTTCTCTTTCTGGTATTGATAGCTCTGGCTGGAAAATTCAATCCAAGAAGGTGGTTCCTGCATTGCAGCAGTTTTGTTGTTTGTTTGTCTAGAAAGCATAGGAAAGAAAGTTGCTCAGTTGAATCTGTCAGTGGAACTTTCTTGCTTACTTTTCAGTTTCAAGGCATCACAGTAATAATCTATACATGGATTACATTTTATATATTTATCCTTGACAGATTTTTGAACAGAAAAATCTCTGTAAAAAGCTAAACATTATTGCAATCATTTGTAAATGTGTAAAATATTTATCTCCTTTTCTTTACAGTAAAATATGTAAAAATCTAAAGTCAAAATATTGCATATAAGCAGAGTTTCAAAAACTTTATTCAACTAATGATTTGCAATTCCTCAAAGGGCAATGATATACACTTCAATATCTAAGTACCATGTGAAGAGTAGAGTGCTTATGTATGTTATAGCTTGACAAATTCTGGTTTTCAGCAAGTCTTTTCCCCGAAAATACAATACTTTGCCAACAAATTGGGACTCCCACTTTACAGGAAAGCTTTTCCTTTACCTCGTTGACCGTGTTCGATAGTGTAACATAGAGTGTTATGGTCTTTCCACTCCATGTCTTGACAAATATTTGAATCCAAGAAGCCTGAAGTTCCAAACTTGAACTCTCTTCAACCCCATAAAAGGCCAAGCTCTTGGAGTCCTCAAGCTCATTTCCCACGTAAATCATCTTACAATCGCTGACGGGACATCCTATGATGCTCTCGACAATTGTCTTGACATCACGGACGGTGTACAACAAGTTCACGTCGAATTTCAGAATCTTCCCACTTGGGGTTGTAACGCTAATCGGCGAGAAAGTTTTCGGATGAAAGATCAAATGCATTGTTGATTCTGTTTTTATGCCAAGTGAGACCAAGGTCCTATAATCTTCAAGCCTCTTCCCATCATGGAATAGAGCATATTGGTCCGGATTTGCTCCTTCCACAGCATGGATTTTGGATTTGATGTCATGGACAATGTGATAACCATTCGCTTCGACGACAGCGGTTTTCTTGCTTGAGGCTATTTTGACATAGATTTTCAACCTTGTTGGATTCTGAAGATTCAGAATCCGATTCTGACTCTGGTCTTTTTCTTGGTTCTGGTCAACTATTGTGCGTCCATTCTCAAGCCCATCATCACTGACCAAATGGGATTCTTGAGAGTTTCTTGAATTTCCCTTCTTTGTATGTATTAAGGCTTTCAAGTTTCTGATGGTCACAGATTTCCTAACCTTCAAGGTTACTATTTTCATGGCTCTCCAAAATATGTTATTCTGTCACAGGGAAAGACAAAAACAATATTGGAAAATTTTGGAACAATTACCTATAAAGAAAAAGAAAAAAAAATAGAATTTATTTATTTAGTTGATCTTTAAACTTTAAAGCAGAGAATTTGTTGGTTCAAAAAGAAAAGAAAAAAAGAAATTACCTTATGTTGAGATGAACCCAATTTGCTTGATGGGAGTTTGCGGTATCCTTTGAACAAGTAACTGCAATGTGTTGGAGCTTCCATTGGAAAATATTATAACTTTCAACCAAGTTTAGTCTTCTCAAACTTTCTAGATTTTGCAAAAAAAATTTATCAGTGCAGAGAAAATATGTCCAGTTTTTCTTGCTTCAATGAAGATGGCAAAACGAAAAAGTTTCTCTTTCTCTTGCTGTAATAATCTCAATTATTATCCTATTTTTCTCCTTTATTTTTTATTGATAGAATATACATTTTTTTTTCTTTTTATATATTTGGCTTAGGAATTAGGATAGAACTGAGACATTATTATACCAATCTAATAGGAATAATTAGACCAAATAATGGCTGCTGCATCACGCGCAGAAGTAGTTAAATGATTTAGGATATTAAAAAAAAAAATTGTACTTAACATAAGCTGAAACCAGGAGTTGACCTTGGTATTAAGAAAATATATACCAGAATGTCAACAATACAGTTCACAATTTTATCTAAAAAATTGCATATAAAATTATTTGAAAAATAAAAAGAATGACGATTTTATGTCTATCAGTGCTCCCCACTAATTAAGTGTGCAATAATAATTGGTAAAACAATAAGAATAGTTTTTTTATAAAAAAAAATATTTATTTGCTTTCAACATGATATATAATTAACACAGTTGACGCATCAAATTCAAGGGTATTGTCTTTCAACCACGAATATGATTCATCGCAATTCCCTTTCAAGAGAAGGAAATTTCAGGGCAAAAAAAAAAAAAAGAAAAGAACAAAGAAAGAAAAATTTGTTATTGAAATGAATATTACAAAATAAAATAAATCTTAGTTCCTGAGAGACTTTATTTTGCTGCAATAAGCAGGCATTTGGGGTTCATATAAAAATATTAGCATTTATTTATGAATGTGACAAAATGTGTATCTCCTTCTTAGTATGAACAAGCAAATTTTTCAATAACTTCATCCATTGATATTTTCCGGTGATCATTATTCTAGATCGGTTTAAGGATTTAAGATTCTGTAAATTTTATGCTTATCTTCAAACCTGTTAAGCTCTCAACAATTGTCTTGACATGAAGGAAAGTGTACAAGACGCTTATGTGAAACTTCAGAATCTTCCCATTTTGGGAGGCTTATTGTTACTGGCAGCAAAGTTCTTTTTGGGTGTAAATCCAAGCGAATATTCGATTTGCTTTTCATGTCAAGTGAGACTAAATTCCTACAATCTTCAAGCTCTTTCTCATCATGGCAAAGGTTTGTCTCAATGGGAATAAATTTCTTGTTTGATGTTATACAAACCAAAGAAGGCCTAAGTTCAAAAATTGAATATTTCTCTTCAATTCCATAAAAGGCCAAGGTCTTGATGTTGTCGAGCTCGTTTTTCGAGTAGATCATCTTACAGTCTCTGACAGAATTTCGGATAAAGCTAGAAAGCTATAATTTAATATCCTATAATGCTCTCAACAATGGCTTTGACACCGCGGACTGTGGACAACACATCTACCATGAATTTCGGATTCTTCTGATTGGCAAGAATTGTCTTGGATGGAAAATCAAGTAAATGATTGATTCTGTTTTGATGCCATGTGAGACTAGAGTTCTATTATCTTCCATCTTTTCCCCATTATGGCATAGAGCATACTTGTTTGGTTTGATTCCTTGTGAAGCAAGGATCTTTGATTTTATGTTAGTTAAATGACTCAAATTAGTTTTGAAAAAGTAATAATTTTGTGATTTTTGGATAAGTTGCTGTTTTTTATTTTTGGGTAAGAATTATTAAAAGTCTATAAATAAGTGCTTTGTATAAGGTTTTTATGTGTGCTTAAAGAAAAGTGTAGAGACAGAGACCCTGTTTGGAATTGATCTCGTTTTTTATTTTTCACGTTTTTCAATAAAAACGTTTTTAAAACAGCGTTTGGCGCAATAAAGACAAAAAACATAAATGAAAACGATTTTTTAGTTTAGTGTAAAATGAGAAAGAAATGAAAAATGACTTTTAGTCGTTTTTATTTTTTATTTTCGTTTTCTCATCTCTCAAGCAGAGAGAGAGAAAGAGACATTAATGAGTTTTTTTACACTGAAGCAATCTCTTAATAAAATTACTAAACGCATTTTCAAAAATAAATTCTATCTGAGATTGAAAACGTTTTCATTTTCATTTTCATACAAAAAATAAAATTATTTTGGAACGAGTTATAAACAGGCCCAGAGTGTCTCCTTTTGAGAGAGAGAGAGAAAAGTTAGGAGATAGATAGGCAAAGGTGTAAGGGATTTTGGGTAGAGAGAGAAAGTGAGAAAGTTTGTTGAGTGTGTAACTCTGAAACTGTTAGTGAATTTTTCTCTCTTTCGTGGACGTAGTAAATTTTTTCGAACCACCTAAATCTTTGTCTTTTCTATTTTTTTTGTTATTTTTGTTTCAGTTTATTTTTTTGCTGCATAAGTGTAGTGGTGTGTTTTCCCTAATAACTGGTATCAGAGTTGTGATGAAGATTAAAAGAAAAAAAAAAGAGATCAAGATGATGTCCGGGATAAAATTTGAGCCCCCTAATCGGAGGTTGGACGAAGGAGTTACGACGATTGGAAGAAATGGGTATTTCTGATACTTTGTCCGGCGAGTGCGGGGGCTACCGATAAATTTGGGGGTCATATGACATGTTGTTGTGCTCAGCTCATCGAGAGCTTCGCGATGGTAAGGGAGGTTTCGAAAACAAGCACCTGAATATGATCGGAGGTTTCTTGAACAATGACGGAGAAGAAAAGAGAGAGAAAGTGAGAGAAGTTTCAAATTCTAGTTTTGTTACAGTTAAAAGCTCTCATAGAAAGTTACATCAACTTTTTATGCTACAGTTAAAAGCTCTCACATAAAGTCAAATAGCAACTCGAATTGAAAACTTGAATCCGCGAACTGAACGAGACCTTAATCAAGGTCAATGGTTCGTTTGGTATGAGGGTTGAAACCAGGGTGATTCTAGTTTTGATTTTGGAACCAGAACCATGATTTATGTTTTTGGGTCCAAATCATGGTTCTGAAACTAGAATCAGAATCAGGTGTTTGAACCACGAGTGATTCATGATTTAAAATATCACATTAGGGTTCAAACCTTGAATCAGAACCATCCTAACCAAACATTGATTCTGAGTGAGTCAAATTAAAATCACTTTTTACTTTTTGTAAACAAACACTGGTTCTGAACCAAAATCATGGTTTCGAATTGAGTACCCTTACACCAAAAAACACCAAGTCTTCTACTTGATCTTATTCTCAAATATTCTCTCTAAACTGATAAAATTTGTACTAACTGGAGGTAAATAGCTTAGCCGATAGAAAGTCTAAATTTTCCGGTGTGTCCTTTTTCTATTGTTCACTTGTAGTCCGACACTATTCTTTGAATAATTCGATAAGGATTTAAATTATTAATTGTGTACTAAAATTAGACTATTTTAAATCTTAGAATTATTTGTGGATTTAAATAAACTCTAAACTTGACTCTTTTATGTATTTTACATCGATAATGACGTAGTCACTGATAGTGTCAATTTCTAAGCTCAGATAACATTTTTCTATCGAAAATGTTATTCGCGTAACTCTGATTTAACTAATCGGTAATTAAGGACTTCTTGAGTGTTGGAGTTTATTTTCCGGCATACTGCTAACATCGCATTGCACTTGAAAATTCTTATAATTGAAATTCTCAAGTTACTTTCAGATTAAAATTTCTTCCACCTTAAATCATAGTGAGAATGCAAATTTAACTTAAAACTTACTATAGAATTTTAAAATATTAATATTAATTCTATAAAACCTTTAGTCACGTAATCAAATATGATATTTAAAAAAAATTGATTTAAATATGTAAATTATTGTCACGACCTCAAAGATGGGACCGTGATTATTGGAGTTTAATTTAAAATTTAACCTAATTAAATTGAACTGTTTAACAAAAATCACAAAAATAAATACATAAATATCAATATAGTTTGCTCTGGAGACTTTCTTTTACAAATAATATTTAAAACAACCCATAAAGTCCAAGAAAAATAGTACAACTCTGGGACAATGTCGACCAATACAGTTTATATACAGAAATATAGTACATCTCATAATTAAAACTGTAAATCCGAAATAAACGTATCGCTTCAAATCTCGTGCCTTCAATCCATTGGCATCCACTTGTCACGTTATAAATCTAAACCGCTACCTCTGGAAGGGGGTTTAAAACATTAAAAACATAATAGTAAAAGTGAGCATAAGGCCCAATATGATATGATTTTATAAAACATAAAGGTACTCACGGTCCGAAGACATACACCCGGAACCGATCATCTTTTAAAAAAAAAAGAAAATACTCACATAGTAGTGGTAAAATATCTATATAATGAAAATATGCATAGCCATAATACCACTGAGCAAGAAGTGGATCCGTACGGGTTTCGGGACCTGCCCCTAAGGATACGATTCCCATATCCCGATCTCTGAGGCAACCATGCGTTATATCATTTCTTAAAATATTTTAATTTAAGAAATGATACTCTTTAAAATCTTATTTCTAAAATCATTGCAAAACTTAATAGCATTATTCATGTCATTTCCTTCAAAATCATTTTCTTTCAACATGTTTTGTTCTAAAACATTTTCATTCGCCAAAATCATTTAAAGTAAGGCTAACAAGGATATAGACAAGAATATCCTACCTCTTGACAATTTAATCTATGGATAACGTCACGTTGTCCAACCGTCTATTCTTGACACTCCACGGCTTGCTCTGAACCTCAATGAATCTATTTGATTTGCTTCGATCTACGTGCACAGTATTGGTAGACTTTTCAACGGAGTGGAATTGGCACAACTGGAGGTCACTGTTGTGTTCAACACGTCAAAACGAGTCAGGATATCATCTCAGATCTTCGATCGGACATCAGGAACCTCAAGAACTGAGCTTGCGGGAATCCGGCATCCGGTGGCGGCAGTAGCGGCGGTGGGGTTGCCGGAGCACATTTCTGCGGCGGACTTAGGTCCTACCCCCCCTAAATCGACTATTCTAAGTTCAATGG